TTTATTTTTTTCCTTTGAGATAGGATCTCACTATGCAGTTCAGGTTGGCCTTGAGCTCACTTTGTAGCACAGGCTGACCTTGAATTTGCAGTGATCCTCTTGCCTCAGCCTCTCATGTGCTGGGATGACAGGCATGAGCCACCACACCCAGCTTGCTTATATTTCATTAATTTGGGACAGCTACCTCTCTGGGAGGGCTAGAGCTCCTCACTGACTAAGGAGAATATTAAATCCTATCGCTGTATTGCTGTATGCTTTCCCACAACCTCTCATTCTCTGCTCAGTTTCTCAAGATTTTCTGTTGCCTGCTTTAACTTTTTTTTTTTTTCCTTTGGTCTTTTTCAGACAGGGTCTCACTATGCAGTTCAGGCTGGCCTTAAGCTCACTTTGTAGCCCATGCTGGCCTCGAACTGAGAAGTGATCCTCCTGCCTCAGCCTCTCAAGTGCTGCTATTACACTGTGCCACCATACCCAGCTTCTGGGCTTTTTCTTAGGTTTCTCTTTTTCCATTTTTTTGTTTTTGGTATTCATTGTTAGGGGTGGAAGCCGGGCTCATCCTCAAACTCGGCAAATTCTTTCTCCCTGAGCTCAGCGCTGCCCTCTGCCGGTCAGCCCCTTTTGTGAGCTCCGCTTCTGCCTAACGTTCCCTCACAAGCCCTCCAGCTGGGCGGCTTCCTCCTGACTTCAAGATTGACTGACTTTTTTCACAGTGGTGATGCTCCAATCCAACAAACTAACCCCATGTGCTTTTCTGAGCATTTTTGGTGATGGAGGCCCATCTCCCCAGACACCTGTGAGGCCAGGCCACAGAGCCCAGGATGGTACACGCGGGTGGACTCCAACAAGTGTGGTGATTATTGAGGTGGTGCAAAAAGGCACCTCAGAGCCCTTTCTCCACATGCACAGGCACGAAAACCTGAGAAACAATGGTATTTTATTGAGTTATGCACAGACCAGCTTCCGATCAAAACTGGACAAGCAGATGGCGAACGCTTGGAGTGGGCAAAGAGGGAAGCAGAAGTCCATGGTGAATGTATTTGGATCCACGCTGCCGAACTGCAGCACCACTTTGTCTGCTGTGGGGACAATCAAACGCTGAACCGGAACCAGAGCCCTTCAGGCCCCTCTGGCCCTGAGCTACGGGAACTCAGACCCCTAAGTTAGGAGGCGCTCTGGGGGCCGTGTGAACTACAATTCCCAGGAAGCATTGTAACAGGGAGGCTGCTCTGCAGCCTAGGCAAACTCTCAAGTGCTGATGGGAGCAGTAGTTGTTGCTCGCTGACGCCCCCCCAACCCAACCCCCCAACCCCCCCCCCGCCGAAGGGCGATCCCAGGCTCTCACGCTTATGGGGGTAGATGATCTGGAAGTTCTTGACCGAGGCCCGAGTCACTCGCCCGTGAAAATTGAGCACGAAGGCATCGGTCTCATCACTCCACACCGGTGTTTTGTTTTGCAGTACGACCAGCCCCTGCCTGACACCCCTTTTGAAGCGACTCAGAAGCGAGTCCTCTTCCTTTGAAAGGTAAAGTAGGGGACGTGGTGCGTCAGCCTGCACCAGCCAGCTTCCACATACAAGTTTTCTGCATAGTCTCTACTCCCAGGCACAGGAGTTTGGCAGGGGCCTCCCAGGGCACTGGCAGCCTCCTCCTCTCTGGGCATCTAGGACGCCAGCCTCTTGGCCTATGCAGACCCAGAGATTCCCGACCTCGGGCACTTACAGTTTTCGGCTGGACACTGATTCTCTGGTTGTGGCTGTTGACTTCCGGGATGATCACAGTCATTTTTCGGGGTCCCCGGGACCCCCAGACATTGGGCTCCTGGGAGTATCAGATTCCAGTTGGGCTGGCTCTGCCTCCGCCCCATCCCGCCTCAAGCCTCATTCATATTCATTCTCGGGCTCCCGCCCCTCCCCCTCAGGCCTCCCTACGGGACACTTACATAGCACACAGTCCCCAGCTCCTGTCGGAGGTGGGCCTTATCCAGGTACGAGTTTTTCTCTTCAGGATTCACCCCATTGTCGAAAATGATGAACTTAGTGCCGAAGAGATTGGACCTGCCCCGGGCCGGCCGCCGAGAGAATAAGAGACATATCTGTTACTCCTTTTTTTTTTTTTTTTTTTTTTTTTTTTTAATGAGGTTTTTTTTTTTTTTTTTTTTTTTTTTTTTTTTGGTTTTTCTCTGGTACCAGGAACAGAATTAAAACACAAGAGTAATAGACAGGAT